TGACTCGGTTGTTCTTTGCCAACATTCCGTAAACTCTGTTTTATCAGCTAATTGATGATCACCTTCAATCATCCTCGATCAAACAAACAAAAACACGAATTTGTATTTTGATGATCAACTTAAGTAACCTTAAAACTGGTCTGAATCCGAGTGAGACAATGGTTGCTTTTTGTTTTAGTTTTAGTTTTTGTGAAGAGAAATGGAGAAGAAGAGTGAATGTTGTGAGAACAAAGTTTAAGGTTATTATTATATATTGAAATGAGGGAAGAGAAATGGAGATGCAAGAGTGAATGTTGTGGGCCCACAAGTGACATGTGATGACGGTTCGGTCAGAAACTGTTGAAAACTATAATATCCGGTCAACACTCCCCAACTAGTGCATCTCTTTTACTCTTATTAGATTTTTTTTTTTTTTTTATCAATTTATAAATATCAAGAAAATTTTATTAAAAAATAAGTAATTAATTTTTTTTTAAGTTAAAGATATTAAATTAAATTGATTTATGAAAATAAATTAGCTGTATTATATTTTTAAATAATTATTTTAAGATAATATTTATAGAAAGAATTTAATTGATATGGATAATATTACACTTTCATATAATAAAAATTCATCACACAATTATGTTATACTATTAAGTTAAAATTTTAACTTAATAGTACAATATGCGGAATACATAATAATAAAATATTCTATTTTTTTTTATAGGAATAAATGAGTTGTTTTGGGGTTGATGAAATATTTACATTTGATTGTTTTGGGATTGATGAAATATTTAAATTTTGGTGATGAATTAATTGTAATGTCTTGTTTGAAATAATCTGATTTTGAATTAGAAACTTCATAGTATTCATTTGAAAAAAAGTCTCCTTTTTTGTGTGACATAAGATATTTTAATTTGGATTATACCTAGACTTTTTTTCTAAAATCTATATAGTTAAGACAAAAATAAAAGTCTTTGTCATAGGTTAATTAAGTTTTTGATCATTTAAATATAACGAATTTTGTTTTAAGTTCTTCTAATTTTTTTTTTTAATTTTTCGTTTATATAGTTAATCTCTAATGTCAAATGTCATTATCGAATGTTGAAATTTTTTTGATGATTGAGTTTGTATGTGGCAAAAATGTTGATGTGGCATGCCATGTGACTAAAGTCAACATTATACTTGAACTCATAAAACTTCATAGTTAATTTATAGCTAAAGTCGTAGCTAATTTGTAACAAATTTAAGAATTAAAAAATTTATCATGCAAGAACTTGAACAATTTTTGCAAAGTCGTACTAATTAATTAACCTTTGAATTCTGTAGTTATATCTCAACAATGACAAGTTATCAAAAACCTTTTAGATATCAATTATCAAGCGGCATATTTAACAATGAAGTTTGAATGAATGAGATTTACTAATTTTAATGAATGAAACTCACATTTGCTTTTATGTATTGTTTTCCACAATTATTCAACAATTAGCATGTCACATTTGCTCTGTTGTCATTGCACTATCAAAATATTTTTATATTCTTTTTTGAGTGTGTTTATCTATGCGTTCAGAGATCTTATTAAGCTTTAACATATATTATATGGAAAAAGGTTGGGGACTTACTCTTTATTGTAGACTCACATTTAAGGGGATGTTGAGAATAATATATCAATTGTGAGTTGGAGTCTCATATTGATTATAAATGTGAATAGTTAAACATTTATAAGTGGGAGAACCCATACACCTATTACCTTAAAGTTTTGGGTGAATATGCAGTGTCTCTCTCCCTGGTGTGTGTGTGTGGATTCTCCCACTTGTAAATGCTTAACTATCCACATTTATAATTAATGTGAAACTATTGTCCTTACTACTTCACACTTGTTATATTATTTTCAACACTCTTGACACTTCTTCCTCTCCAATTCCAATATGTCACTTTTTTTACCTTTCAAACATAAAACATCATCTTCAACTTCACACGATCATCAACTTGTTGTTAAACATGAGCATGTTTTGATATAAGCTTCTTGTATTCTGTGTTTAGGAAGTGACATACCACATGATCAACATTCAAACCAAAGCATATTGTTTTGGCACTTTATACTTGATAAAAAACATTGATTACCACACGATTTTTATGTCCTTTCATATATAAAATTGTTATTCATAGATATTTATTTTAACATGGTTCAAAACAATTGTAGTTTGAGCAGTAAGATGTGATCAACGTCTATTCCTAATGTCCATAACAATCAGAATAACAAATTATTTTCTTTTATTGATAGGAAATGTTAGTATCTTCTAAATATTTACACATATGTATATTTCAACTGCTAAAACAAAACTGACAGAATATGTAAAATGACAATATATATCCATGGATTAAAATACGATTTTGCTCTATTCATTGTTTATCGTTATTCACGTCATTCAAGTAGGATGATCCAACAGTTACCTTACATTACAACGTCTAAAAATTATAAGAACTCTAACATGAAATAATTACCATATCTAGTAAGCAAAATTGTTGCTTTATATCCCAATAGGTAATGAGTTTGCTACAACTATCTTCACGCAGCAAGAACAATGATATTGTTATGAAAACAATGTTGTTGATGCTAAATTCTAGAAGATGGTAATAGAAGTTTAGTTCATAAGAATGGTGTATTTAAATTAGTTAGGAATTAGTTTGAAATTAGCTATAAATTCTAGGTTTATGAATACAAAAAAATAATTGTCATGTGGTATCTACGTCAGGTTTTTTCCCCACGATAGTATTGTCACATGTATGCCTAGTCATCAAAAAATTCTACGTGGCATGCCACGTTAACTTCAGTTAACGGCGGTTAACAGAAGAGATCAAAAGTGTAGATGAAAAATATTATGAGGACCATTCTTTAAAGGAAATTTTTAGAGGGTCTAAAAAAGAAATTCGTTATATTTGTTGAGTTTTATTTCATAATTATCAGGTGTACCAGTTAGTTAGCATTTTTTGTTACAAATTGGTTGTTAGTTAGTTACCTTGTGTATGAATGACTTGTTTAGCAAGATATTGTGTAACACATATAAATAACACTTTGTAATGTGAAAATACAATAAATGAGAATCATCTTTATTCTCTCTTCTTCTCTTCCAAAATATCTTCAAAGATGTCTAAATATTAGTGTGTGTGTGTGTGTGTGTGTGTGTGTGCGCGCGCTATGCTATTACTTTCATCTTACGATTACAATCGTGCTCCGTATTAACTGTGTGTGTTCATCACAGTGCTTGTGTTCTAACAATTGGCATCTAGAGTCTGGTTCAATCCAAGGGAAACACAAGTGAAAAGTGAAAGGTTCAATCCAAAGGAAACACTGAGTGATAGTTTCTTGATATGCAAGATGAATAACAATAGTTTTGGATCAAATATTCTGGTTCTTGATGGAAAAAACTAGGATCATTGGAGTGCTTTGATGAAGTCTTTATTTGGAGCATAAGAAGTGAGTGAAATTGTGAAAATGACTATGAGGATCTGGTGGCGAATCCAACTGATGCACAAAGATCTGCATTCAAGGAAGCCAAGAAGAAAGACTATAAAGTTTTGTTTTACATTCAGCAGAATGTTAACAATCAACACTTTGAGAAGATTTCTAAAGCGACAAGATTCAAAAAAGCATGGGACATTTTAGAAAACTATCATATTGGTGGAGAAAAGGTGAAGCAAGTGAAGCTACAATCCCATAGAAAAAAGTATGAGATGATGCAGATGGAAGAAGATCAAAAAGTAAGTGATTACTTTTTAAAATTAATAGTCACTGTTAATCAGATGCAAAGTTGTGGTGAAAGCATTACAGATCAAATGGTAGTAGAAAAGATGCTGAGGTCTTTGATTCCAAAGTTTGATTTCATAGTTGTAGCTATCCAAGAAGCAAATGATGTGAAAATTATGAAAATTGAAGAATTGCAAAATACATTGGAAGCACATGAGCTCCTTGTGCTTGATAGAAGTACTAAGAGATCAGTTCAACAAGAATTTCAAGTTCAAATTTCCAAGAAGGAGGGAAATTAGAAGAATTTTAAAAAGGGAATAAGACAAAGTTGAACCTTCAAAAAGAGGAGGCTTTGGCAGAAGTCGGAACAAGAAGAGGGATTTTGACAAAAGTTGTAAGAACAAGATTTGGTTCTACATCTGCCCATTAAGTTTTCACGATAACTGCACATGTTATCTAAGAGAATAATTCTTTATGATATGGGTTCTGTCTAGTGTGTGGTTGTTATCAATATGATTTCGAATCTGATAAGAAGGCGTGTGACGTCATCAGACTCTATTATCAACACTCTGGAAGAAAACATACGTGTGTACAAGTTAATGTCAAAGATTCATGAATGTTTCTTATATAACGGTTC